AGTACGTGGAGTGCTCGGCCCTCACAGGGGAAGGCCTTAATGATGTGTTCAATGAGGGCATACGTGCCGACCAACGCACTAAGAAAACTAAGGCTATATGCGCTCTGCAATAACCATGGTCTTTTTTTAACTTTATTTCTTTTAATTATTATAATTATTGAACTTATTAAATTAAAGTATTATTATTATTTAATTTAAGTAACTTTATTTTATGTAGAAATCGAACATATTATTTATATTTTTAGGCAAAACAGTTGTAATATTAACAAGTTAATTAAACAGGTTATTAAAGTGAAATTGTATTAAAATAGAAATTATTTATTGTAATTTTTGAACATGTTATTTTGCCAATAATACTCTATAAGAATAAAGTCCAAGGAACTTAACTAAATTTAATATGATAATAATGCAAGGGAAGTTTATTATAATTTTACTTTTAGATAAGTAATATTGGATCATAGTGTTTATAAATTCCTTATCAATAGTCCAATCCTGGTATTTATGTAATCATTGCTTATATAACTGACACATAATTATACAATAAAACTCATTATAACATTAATAATTGCACTGAAATGCATGAAATTAAATGTGTATTAGTTGGGGACGGGTATGAATTTATAAATTAATATGCATTAATTTTATAATTATAATTAATACATAAGCCAGATCCTATTATTAATATAATTATTTCTATATTGTTCACCTTTTTCAGAACTGTGGGTAAAGCATACCTCGCAAGGACATACATGACAGACATATACCCAAATGACTACTTTCCCATTGTTTTTGATAACTTTGATCATAAGATGGTTGTCAACGGAGAGTCCGTTAATCTGGGCATTTGGCTTACGGCCGGTCAGGAGGACTACGACCGACTGCGGCCCCTATCCTACCCGCAAACCGACGTCTTTCTCATATGCTATTCAGTGGTCAACCCCTGGTCTTTGACAAACGTACGGACCAAATGGTATCCCGAAGTGAGACACCACTGTCCCAACACACCCATAATACTGGTGGGCACTAAACTGGACCTCCGGGACGATCCCGAAACACTAGACAGACTAAAAGGTCGCAAACAGACACCCATTACACGCAGGAAGGGCAAGGCTATGGCTAAGGATATCGGCGCCGTTAAGTACGTGGAGTGCTCGGCCCTCACACGGGAAGGCCTTACGAATGTGTTCGATGAGGCCATACGTGCCGTCCTGTGTCCTCGGGTCAAGAGTCAGAAATCTTGTGTTGTACAATAACCAGGCACATTCAAATGAGGGACATAATTACTAAATGATATATGTAAAATTATATTGAATTCTTACAAGTTTATTCGTGTAACGAACTATGTTTCATAAATACTGTATTTGTATAAATTATTTATCCATTATTATTGTACCGTAATCTCAAATATTTTTAAATATAATGTTATTTTCTATTGATTTCAGTGATATGCGCTAGGGTGTTCCATGCAGGGCCTGCAGGACGTGCACCCTGCTCAGGGTACGTGCAGGGCAGGGTATACTTCAAGGCCTTGCAGGGTAGGGCAGGGTGACATTAGGTAACTTTTAAATTAAAACGTATTATTCTGTACAAAGCTGTACTGCATATAAATGGCTTCCTAAACAAACATTCCTCCCTCAACCCCCACGGACGGCCCGTCCCGGAATCCTTCACTATATTGGGGGATAAATAAGACTCAAAATTCGCCTTAAGATGATTTTCTAGACACTTTTCTATATGCAGGCCAATGCAGGCGCCTGCAGGGCAGGGCAGGGCAGGGCAGGGTGCTAAATTTTATGACTTGGAACACACTAAATGCGCTCAAGTAATACCATACAAAACATTTTTTGCAATTTTGATTTGAAATTACAGGTTAAGAAATAAATAAAAATATCAGCAATTTCCTGTAAATGATTGAATATTGAATATTGCACCTTGAGCCTTCACAGCTACCCTCATTCCTTGACAATCAAGGCAATACCTTGACGTTTGGTCACTGTAGTCATTATAGCCCTGAATGAACCGTTAAGAGAATGCCTGTCAAACTGACAGTGAATCTTAGGAAAAACTAATTCATGAATTTATATAACTTATTATTTGATTAAAAAATTACCTTTATTTTTACGTAGGAATCACACATAGAAAGGTGCTTTTAAAATGCAATTTATTAATTATTTTTCAAAGAGTACTTGTAATAGTATAGCGAGTATTTATTGTTTTCATATATTTCTACTATAGTGGTGCATAGTATTACTAATTATTATACCTGTATTATATTAGTTTTATATCATATACGGAAGCTCTACAGAGTGGCTCATATCTAGGACTGCCAACTATTTTCATGGCCCGGGTGGACAAATAGTCAAAATTGAGCCTGGCCAGGAGGGCATGGGTGGACAACAATTATAAAAACGTTTCAGTACTATTATTGCTATATATTTTTACTCCAACTGGCCACAATAATTTAAGCCTAATTACAATTACAATTGAATACACTACTTATTGTAGGGCTAATAATTTTTCATAAATTGTTTAAACAATGATTACAAACTCGCAGTTATTTTCATGAATTTCATAATGTAATTGAAAATTAAATATTTTGCATTATTTTGACAATTAATTGTGGTGGACATTAGATTGCTTTTTGAGGGCACGATTGGCGGACATTCCTCCAATTGGGGGGACGGGTGGCAGCGCTACTCATTTGGCTGTAAAGAGCGTACACTCGCAGGGTATGCATCACAGGAAGAGTTCTGGTGACGAACCCATGGGTTTCTAAATGCATTTTGTCATCCCTTGAGAGTTGGGTAGTGTTCTCCGGAACCTCCGGTTTCCTCTACCATCCGATGAGTGACTCAATTCACTAACAATGGAGTAGCGACTCCTAAACGGTTGATGCCGTAATATGACCATGATCAATACACTTCAACTACAATTGTTGCACTATATATAACAACGTATATGAGTATGTCATCAATATCTAAATATAAATTTATAGACGTTATTGTAGTATTAAATTACATGCAAACAGTATGTATTTCCGAGTAAAAATCACATTTACTTATTGGAGTATAAACGTGCAAGGCCCTTATAAACCCTATGATCAGTGCCCATTATTTAGTCAGTGCCTTAAATTGTCTAGCATAATATTGAAATTAATACAATACGTCTAAATGCCGAATATTAAGTGTCTGGGTGACGGGTATGAAATTCATATAATTTATTTATAATTCAATTTTACAATTAATCCAAACTTTATTATATAAATATAAAAATATACTAGTAAAGCATATTTTTAAAAAATAATAAATACTTACAAATATGCTTGTTAGCATATTATTATCACATTTAATAATACTTTTCTAGAGGTGTGGGTAAAACATGTCTATTAATAAGTTACACGACAAACGGATTTCCCGATGAATACATTCCCACCGTTTTTGACGACTATTCCGCTAATGTGATGGTCGACGGAAAGCCCGTCAATCTGGGCCTCTGGGATACGGCCGGTCATGAGGACTACGACCGACTGCGGCACCTATCGTACCCGCAAACCGACGTCTTTCTCATATGCTATTCGGTGGTCAACCCGTCGTCCTTTGAAAACGTACGGTTCAAATGGCATCCGGAAGTGAGACATCACTGTCCCGACAAACCCATTATACTGGTGGGCACTAAACTGGACCTCCGGGACGACCCCAAAACGCTGGACAGACTAAAAGATCGCAAAATGGCACCCATTACTTACATGAAGGGCAAAGCTATGGCTAAGGATATCGGCGCCGTTAAGTACGTGGAGTGCTCAGCCCTCACACGGAAAGGCCTTACGAATGTGTTCGATGAGGCCGTACGTGCCGTTCTATGCCCTCAGGTCAAGAGTCAGAAATCTTGTGCTGTACAATAACCAGACACATTCAAATGAGGGACATTATTACTAAATTATATATGTAAAATTATATTGAATTCTTACAAGTTTAGTGGTGTAACTAACTATGTTTTATAAATACCTGTACTGTATTTGTATAAATGATTTATCCATTATTATAGTAATCTCAAATATTTTTAATATAATGGGAGAATATTTTAAGAAAAATATGTTAAGTTTTACAATAAAATAACAAGCAACAATAACTTTTAAGTACTAAAGTCTATTACTTTTGATACAGTATTATACTCGATTACAGTGTTGTATAATAATGTAGTAAGTATCGTACTACTACTAGAAAGTTATTTCAATTTAATTATTGGTATTTAAATTAGTTTAAGTTTTCAATATTTATTTATAGTATCAGTGAAAATGTCAATCATTAGTTTATGTTAAGGTGTGTGAAAATTTAATTTTTAATTTACATTAACTTAATTTTATTTTAAAATACAATTGTAGTTGTTTTATTAAATGCCTGCACAGTACAGTTACATGAATGGATAAGCTATTTATATATACTTATAAGGCGGCGTGCATAAAGTACGTACGCAAAATTTTGGCCAAATATTGACCCCCCTCCCCCCTACATGCCTATCGTACATAGGAATTTAACATGGTGACATA